TGATACAGTGCTCCTTTTTCGGAAAATGGGGTTACGTGATCAATTGCAGTACCAAAAGGCCTATTAGTTTTTCTTACTTGTCCTGCATGAAGAAGAAGAATTCACACTACTATACTGACTGAACATTTGTTAGACATAGTGTTCTTAGTTTCGATGGATAGTTTTAATATGGTTACATTTATTTTATCAACAGGTTTGATGCGGCGAAAACATGTCCAGAACCATGGACACAAGTTGACAAGAAGGCAAAAGTTCTCAAAGTAAACGTTTGTCATTTGACTCAGTTTGCCTTATTTTGGACTTTCGAAGCTGAAAATGGAATATTTGAATTCGACAAAGGAACTAATGGTATGGACCAGCTAATCTTTTCTCACAATCGTCGATATTAAATTACCTTTAGGATGTTTTGAAAGTTTAGCGGCCATTTTTTTCTGCCTTTACTGGTATGATGATGCATGGCGACCTAAATTTGATCTGACATGTGCTAATTTCTAGTCTTTTCATTCAATTAACATAAGGCAGAGATTTTAGTACTTTATTTGTTCCTTTTAGACACCCAATCCAAACCTCCTCCACATGCTGTTATCGAAGAAGACAACGTAATCTATAGCCCAGAGCGATACGACGGTGAAATGCTTTTAGATGTGGCCAGATATAAAGGTTCTACAGGTGCCATAAAACTCACATGGGGTGTCACTATCGAACCAAACGCGCCTGCCTCATTTGTCGTCTCTCCTATGTCAGGGGAAGTTGAATTTATCGAGGGACAGTGGAACTCTTCTATTCACCTGCGGTTTCCATTCATCCCCGACACCGACCAGGAAATTGGGATTTTTGTGAAATTGCTAAATGTATCTGGCGGTGCAATGCTAGGGAATTTTACCAGTGTGAAAATTACATTTCCATCCAATGTTGGCGATGATGAAGTGACGACACCCGTCAAAGGCAATAATAACAGCAACAAGAGTCATGTTATTTTGAAGATTCTGTTGCCATGCTTAAGTGGTGCATTGTTGATCATTGGCGTAATAGCAGCTATTATCGTTTTATGCAGAGGTCGGGATAGGTAAGGATGTGTAATATATGGGCAGGTGGTCCATAGAAGGTCATCATTGCTATGGTTGCAAATTGCTCTGGTTGTAGCATGTAATTTTAGAAGCGAAAGTTTCGGTGATAATTTCAAGTATAGTTTGCCTGACATGAAAGTATTATTCTGTAAAATTTCATAACCACAACGAAGCTATACCATACGAAAATTATCATTAATGGTAAAAATAACTTTTTTCTCTTTTTCTTCATAGCAAAAAACGGGTCAGAAGGAATTCGATGTATAGGATTAACCCTGTCTTTGGCATTTCGTAAGTATATTTTCTGCAGAAATTACATTAATGTGTTTACAAGATGTTAAGTTATCACTTGATTAATTCGAAAGTGTTATATCTCGAAATATGAGCGTACCAAAGCTTCAAAACAGTCAAAGTCGAAATAGCATAAGAAAAAATAAAGCAAAGTATTGCAACTTAAAATATGAAAAGCAAAAATTAAACACTAACTATCTACCGCGAAAAATTCTAGTGGAGAGAGAGAATGACATTTAATAACGTTTCCAAGACTAATAGTACTTTTTTATTATTTTAGCCAAAATCTCCCTGTAAGACAGTCGGAAACATCATTTACAGACCAGGACCCACCATATTGATTAACAAATGACTGCACCCGGCTGTGGCATTCGATTGGAATTTTTTAAATAGTGTATTTTAAGTTGTGCATATTTGTAGTATAGTCTATATATTAAATGAGAAGTCCCAAAGGACATGTAGTTATATGTATTGTAGATTTAATTGGGATGATAGATCTTTTTGTTGATCTGTTACGATATGCACATGCTATGTAGTTAAAGAAAAAGGCAGCAAAAACTATGCTTATCCATTTGAAAAAAACGTTAAGAATAATTACATAACCCTTTTGCAAATTTTCCCTAAGTTTTTTCTTAATTTCTGAGATATTTGGGACCAAAACAGCCCACCATATTGTTTTTTTTTATCAGATCTAATTTTAATGACGTCACAACACATAAATAGTCTATTGTCCTTATCTTTAAGTTTTGTCTTTTCCATGTTGTTCTGTAACTTTTGCCAGGTTGGTCTTCGCATGGGATCCATGTCCTGACCAAATGCTCAATCATACTTTCAACATGTATTAACATTAGGGCCATTTATACGGGACAAAATAAGACGCGACTTACATAAGACGCGACTTAAATAAGACGCGAGTTTGTGGTATAAAAGGTACAAAATTCTTATGTAAGACGCGTCTTGGATAAGACGCGTCTTACATAAGAACAGGACTTTTAGCTGTTCTTATTTAAGTCGCGTCTTAAATAAGAAATTTTAGACAAAAACTCTAACTACACATGCCAGAAACTTGAAACAACGTAAAATTATTAGCCTTGCATATTAAAACAAAAACAACCAAAACAACATTATAGCTATAGCAAATAAATAAGACCAAAGCCGTAAAGAACCATTTATGCGATAACTCCACTTATTTAAGTCGCGTCTTATGTAAGTCGCGACTTATTTTGTCACGTATAAATGGCCCTATTTAGTATTTTTATATGGTTGTAAAGTAAATAAAATAATAAATATATATATATATCCCTAGTTAGCCCCCAACACCCTTCCTTTCCGGTTGGTAGCCGTAGAATAAAAAAAAGTTAACATTCCATGGAATGTAACATTTCTGTGCACCGCACACTTTAAACGCAACTTTGGTTGTGCACCACATGTTGTGCACATAGCCAGCGGGCTCATGACCTGTGCACGTTCTAAATTAAGATTCTGGGGGGCAGGGGTTTTTTCAGGATTTTTTCTTGGGTCCGTTTTTGCAGAGAAGATTGAGTTTAGCTGAACAGCTGGGGGTCTGACACCTGTACCCAATAAGTGTAGTTGAGACGCAATGTGTTAAAGCAGACACATAAACTGATTAAAGATGGCGAATGCGTTGTTTTTCTTGTGTTGTGAAATGAATTTCAGCCATTTTTCTGGATTGTGGGGTTTCCAACTGAAAACTAATTTGCACACGTCACGAATTTAACTCAAACAACTTCATTTTTACTGCACTAAATCTTTTGGTGAGAAGATTGAGTTTCAAAACTCAATTCAAGATTGAGTTTTTGGGGCCGTTTTACGGTCCTAAAAAGTCCCTGAATAAAACCCTGCCGGGGTAGCAAGTGTGTAGCAGCGAAGGTCAGAATTTCTGAATTCACCAATTACTAATTATAGTTGTTACACACCATAGTTCTAGTAGATATTAAAAATATATATTGATAACGTACGTTGTGAAAATCCAAATTTTTTGTGCACCAATAACAGAAGGAAATTGTGTGCACCAATGTGCACCAAAGAGGGATTATTGGGGAAGTTGTGCACCAATTTGTGCACCGATAGCAGCCTTTGTGCACGGCACATGCATGTGCGTGCACGTCGCCTTCATTCCATACTGGCATTGGATTCGACAACTTTCTCTTGAATTTTTTTCGGGAAAAACTCCAGTGTAAATTATATCTTGTATGCAGTTAAATAGTTTTCAATTTGAAGCCAATAGCACAAAACCGTTGAAAAATGCAAATTTATTTCTTAAATTAAATATCAATATGGCGGCCATGTCTGTGGAAAGTTTTTACATAATGGTATGTTGAGATGAATTGAAAATTCCATAGGTGTGCATTTGATTATTTCATTGGAGATTATATGTGATTTGATTTCACATGTGAAAATTTCAGATGTGAATTAAAAATTTCAATTCACACAACAATTTCACATACGAATGGAATAAATCATTTATGATTTGATTTCAACATGTGAAATAAAATTTTGTGACATGAACATTTCAGGCATATGAATGACAGATTTCACATATAACGATTTCATATTGGAATCGAAGGTTTCATTGATTTTGTGATTTACTTGATCATACATGAACATTTCAGATATGAGTTGTCAATTGAAAATTTCACGGAAATTTAAATTTAATGTGTGACCTTTCAATTCCCATTTCATACGTGAAACTAATCATTTCACATACTAATGACACATGCATATACAACAAATATATATTGAACGTGTTTATTAATTGTTTATCCATTTAATAAATAATTCTTCTACAACTTCAGCATATCAAATGAATACACTTGATTAAACCATATACACACAGTGTACTTTCAATGATCAAATTAAAGTCGCATTATGAGTAAGCTGTCTTTTTGTTCAACTTATTAACACGGAATTCTTTTTCTTAACCACTCCAAAATGTCCGACTTAACTTTGTCAGCCTCTTCTTTCACTTCGTTCAGCATTTCATGTTTCAGACCTTTGTATATCTGGAAGAAACAAATGTCTGGAGGTTAAGATAAAATCTTCAATGTATGGTGCCATGCACACAGTAAAAAAACCGGATTGGTTAAAATAACCAATGCAATTGGTCGTCTTCAATTCGATGAATCTGGAATAACCTTTCAGGAAGTGAAGAATAAAATTTGCCGGTTACAGACGAACAAGTTTTCTATGACAAGTTTTTATGTGACAAGTTTTATTTGACAAGTTTCACTTGCCAAGTGCACGTGTGTATAGCAACACATTTTATATGACAAGTTTTCATATGACAAGTTTTATTTACTGGTGCGAACGTGTCAACAAGTTTACTTTGACAATTTATTAGTGGCCAGCAATGTATAGTAGTACAGCGGACACCGCGAGCGCTGGCCAATCACAACAATTAATACTCAGATTACTTTGACAAGTTTTCTTTGTTGACCCATACAGACGAACAAAATTTGTACTTTGACCATGTTTTCTATGACAAGTGCACTTGTTCAAAAGCTAGCATGCAAGCCTTTTGAACAAGTGCACTTGTTATAGAAAACATGGCCAAAGTTGCGCGTACAGACGAGCAAATAAAACTTGTCAGATAAAAACTTGTCAATTACAAAACGTGCTCGTCTGCAACCGGCTTTACTGAAACGTGGAACAAACTTTAACATTTCAAGCGAAAATGGAGGTTCAGAAACATTGGATTGTGTGCACTGACTCTAAAAACTAGTCTGTAATTTTGCACAATAAACCAAAATAATGCACCCATGAGCGACTCTGATTTTTTAAAATTGACGAGTAAAATTTGCTCAATTTTTCTTTTACATTCAATTAATATTTCTCAATATTTTCATTACATTTAATTAATGTTTCTCGGAAAAGGTGTGTAAAATTACTCGTACACTTACTGTATTTTGCAGTATGGAAGACACCTGCATGTGTATTAATACAAAATTAATACAAAATTACCCATCTTGTACTTTAAAAATGGGTGCTTCAAAAGATAAAATATACCTCACATCTTTTCGAAAGAGGTGCGTAAAATTACACATCTTTTGCATATACGGAAGCCAAGGCGTGTCCGCGTGTGTAATAATATACACATTGTATACAAAATTACACATCTTCAAAAGATAAAATCGACCGACCTTAATTTCTTTGTCTTGACTTTTTGCCTCTTTCTCAAGTAGCTGTGAACCACCAATGTATGTTAGCTTGTCAGCGTCACCATGTATAACCAAGAAAGGCCATTCAATGGTCGGGATTAATTGTTTGATTCTGTCCATGGTATCGCCGAATACTGTGGCAAACTTCATTTTAAAACCACCGTGCCACACTAGGGGATCTGTGCGGTATGCTTCAACCTTGTACAGAAACAAAAAGATTTGTAGGGACATTAAAATGTTCACCTTGCTTGTCGGGACGGTTTGATAGTTGTGACAGTTTCTGATAATAATTCTCATTAATTATTCATTAGTATAGCTTGACTCAAGTAGTGGATGACAGACGGATATACGGTGGGTATAAGTAAGTGATATATATAGTATGAACATTCGAATACGTCCAACAATATTGTGAATCAATTTGATTTTAGGCATTTTTTTACTGTTTCTCGATATCTAAACCACACACAGAGGTTAGGCAACTGTAGTCTTACCTGATCTGGATCAGAAGATATAACATTTGGGTCAAGTGGAGGAACAATTTCCACTCTCGGCAAGATACGACTCATTAACCTGGCAACAAACACCTTGAATTCATCAAGAAAAAAATAATGAATTAATCTAAAGGAATTTCTTCTTAAACTTTTATTTAGAACATCAAAAACATTTTCGTTTGTTTGTTTGTTTGTTTGTTTGTTTGTTTGTTTGTTTGTTTGTTTGTTTGTTTGTTTGTTTGTTTGTTTGTTTGTTTGTTTTTGTTTGTTTGTTTGTTTGTTTGTTTGTTTGTGTTACTTCGCTTGTTGACTGAGATACCTTGAATGCACCAGGTTGAACGCTAGGATCAACAACTATTCCTGGAGCACTAAGAACCACGGCTTGGAAATACTCTGGTTTGCTGCACGCTGCCACGATTGCAATAGAACCACCCTACAATGATGACATGTGTTTTAGAAACTATTCATTATATAGAAGCGCAGTAATTATTGCATGATTACTTTCATATATAGTAGTACTGCGTGGTCAAATATTTTAGAACACCCTTTTTTGGCTTGGTTACAAAAATAGTCGTATCTAACTCAAAATGCAACAAATTTAAACGAAAATTTAACATGTAATATAGCGAGATATTACCCACTCATTGGTAGTTTTTGAAGCATTGTAAACCGGAAGTACAGTTATCACCAAATGTATGGGATTTACTACTTTTTTCCAAATTTAATTGTGATCATATTAATTCGATTTAATTTATTATTTCAGTTCTTAAATTGGATCAAAATATATTCAACATATCCGACAAGCATGGGAATATGACTTTCATGTGATCCTGCCTTGGCCCATGCTAAAACAGATGGCCTGGGAAACGATGGCTTTGGGACAAAAGTGAAATAAAAAGTCTATTGGCTATTCTGCCTGCACCTACCATGGAATGGCCGAATAGATAGACAGGGATATCTGGATACGATTCTTTCATTTGATCACAATGTGTAAAAATATCTTCAACATAAGTATCAAATGTGTCTATCATGGTTCGTTCGCCCTCTGATCTCCCATGACCAACTGAAACAACAGATAATGAATTAAAAGTTTGAGAGTTCACCAAGCTGACCAAAGCTCGCGGTTTCGATTCACAACGCGGTCAAGCAAACCTTTCAGCGTGCCCGGTGTGGACTGACACTCGGAGACAACCTCACAAACATATATCTTAACAGTGCATTTTTTAAGGATTCTTCAGTGGTGGGGCAAAACTGCCAAAGGGCCCATTTACCTTGCCCTCCCCCAGCATAGTATGCGATCGCCGAAGGTGTGAGCAGAGTACCGCAGGCACGAGTTAGATAGGGGGTTGAAGCTGGTGGCATGTCCCCCCCCCAGGAAATTTTTAAAATTTGGGTCTCTGAAATAGCATTTCCTGCATTCTGAGAACACGTTTAAAAAAAATCTCATGCAGCTTCTCAATTTTATTTAATGGTGAAATTTGTAATAAATTGCATGCTAAACATTCAAACATATCATAATTAAGTTTAAGTATGCTCACCAGCAAATTTTGTTTCTTAAACTTCTTTTCAATGTTAAACTCATTTCCTCAATACAGGTCCTAGGGCCCTGGCTTTTGGGGCAATAGACCATTTTTTTCTTCAGTGGTGGGGCAGAGAAAGGGGCCATGCAGAGACGCAGAATCAGTTTCCACTTCGTTGTCAGTGTTATATACGTGGGGCATATGCCCCACCAGTCCATGGTATTAAAAAATGCCTTGTATCTTAACCTGAGTGCAAAACACCAGAAACAGAAAAAATTCAAGATCATAAAAATACACTGGACTGGTTTCGAAGGAACTAGACTGAGTTGCGAAATATCACCCACTCGAACCAACTTGACCTCGTAGCTCGGTTGGTAGAGTATTGGGCTAGTAAACCAAAAAGGTCGCGGGTTTGATTCCTACAGAGGTCAAGCAAACTTTTCAGCTTGCCTGGTACACATCTTCACCTGAGTGCATAACACCAAAACCAGAAAAATTCAGTATCAGACATTGTTTCCTTAGGTTTGGTGAATGAATGTAAAGCCCCCCCTACAGACAAGTTTTGTTGCTCGTTTAATGTTAAACATTTTTCTCAATGCCGCCTTTTGTTTGCCAAAACCATAGATTATGAAGTTTTTCTTGTACACTTTTCAAGTTTTACTAGCGGCGGCCG